TCGTAGCTCGCCCGCCCGGAACCCACGCAAAAGTCCGTGAAAAACGGCAGCGAACTGTACGGATGTGTGGCCAAAGTGGGCCAAATGCGAGCCCACCACGCCTCGTTTCTGGCCAAGAAGGCCGAGTTCACCTGCTCATCGCCGCGTGGGTTTTTGATATTGTACCCAAAGCGACTGAGGGTTTCAAAGGACCAGCCAGGTGCAAAGATGCCCGCCGAGAAGCCATTGTTCGCTATGTGCTCCATGGTCTCCAAACTCTGGAAACCGCCTTTGCGACTCCTTCCGAACACATCCAATCCCATGAAGACACGATGCCGGGGCGATTGCTCCCTCTTGGCCTGCTCGGCACTCCGCTCCAAGTGGCCCTCGTTCCAGGCGTAGTTTATCAGGGTTCCGTGGCTGCGCCGAAAGAACTCCACGTTGCGGGAGTTGAGCTCGTTCTGCCACAGCAGTTCGCCGCTTTCCAAAACGCTATCGTACCAAAAGACACGTCCGTGGGGCACACGTGCCTCCGTGGCGGCGGTCAGTTCCCGGACAAAGCGGCTGGGGAAAATGGAAACGGGTTAATGGGATTGGCAGAAAGTGGTCGTGGGGTATTTCTTCATGATTAATTTAAAGGGATAATAATCCTAAGCTCATTTAAGAAATATTAAAAATTGGATTATTCGTCATAGGAAAGGTATTCTAAAGTCTGTATAAAATTCAAAAGTATTTGTGTGCAAAAAAAGTTATTGGCTCTTAGACTTGGGCAAAGTGCAATAAGTCAACTTCAATCCGGCGTGAAAATGGAAAAGCCAGTTTTATATTTGACAGCTCGTGATCGATTGAATGGAAAAGCTGTTGATAAATTGGACAGTTGATATGCGACTTAAGTTCGCTTTTGAGCCAAATTTGTTACGAAAGAGATGATGGGGTTCTCAAGCTAGTAATATTTCATGTAAACATTTGTTTCCTGCAACTTTTACTGACAGCTGCTGGCTGTGGACCTTTAGAAGGCTACAAAACACCCTTTTAGGGATGGAGTGCCCTTAAGTACTCACTAGAGATTGGGCATATTGCGCTGGGGAACGGTCACCTCCACGTTGACCAGCCATCCCTCGAAGCCGAAGTGTTCGCAGAGGCGGGTTAGGGCTTCCACGGTCCTCGAAACGGTTTCCTCGGTGGCCAGGACCTCGTTCAGCAGTCCCGGAGCCTCCACGATGAACGTGCCCACCACGGGAACACCGTGACGATGGGCGGCGTTCAGCCAACCGCTGGGCGGAATGGTCACGTACTGGTGGCTGAAGTAACAGAAGTAATCCACGGCTGACCAGTGCACGAATCGATAGTCGTCGTACTTTTCCGAGCTGTGGAAGTGCCTGCAAAGGATAAAAACAATTAGAAACTTAATTATCCCAACTTTAACCACATTGATTGAAAAACAATGTTTGTGCTATGGGTTTTAAGCTTTTTTTGCCTTTTTAGATATTGTCGAAGAGGACATTTGGTGGTAACATTGCAATTAAATCAAGTAGCCTTCCTTAATAACATAGGTATTGCCATTTATTAAAGAAGTCAACTGAATTTAATGTTATGTTTTTAATAAATGCAGATATTTTTTTCTACTCCTACTTCTTCTTGTTTTTACTTTGGCAAAAGACGTAAAGCTAGCGTATACCCATCTATTTGAATACCAAGTAATCCCTATATTTTTGTGTAACTTTTCCGATTCATAACTCACCGATCCTCGAGGTAGTTGCCCATCATATCGTGGCAGACGAGCAGTTCCCTGCGATTGTCCTCGGTCACCGGTCGCCGATGGCTGCCCACGAAGTCCGCCTGGCGCTCCAAGTATACCGCTCCCGATCGAATCTTGGTGTCCAGGGGCTGGACATAGTGGCGCCAGTCGATGTCCCTGCTCCGCACCCGGAACTCCAGCAGCTGGCGGTTGTCCTTGATGGCCTCCGCCTCCAGTTGGGCTGCAAGTGAGGGGGATATATAAAGCCGACGCCGTCCGGACATTATTTTAACGATCTTTCCGCGGATGCGAACCGCTCGAGGGTTCCGTTGAGAATGGAGGATGAGAATGTGCGACTCTACAGCAATCCCAAAGTGTTCTTGTTTAGTTTTTCCCGATAATTCGCTATCAAATGGCAATGGGTGGGTGGGAGTGAGTGGGCTGAAGGCCCAGCCACACAGAAAAAAATATGCTGTTAATTTGCAAATTAATTTGGTTACCCGAAACGGTTATTTCATGTAACTTACCCTTTACTTTTAAAAATTCCACATACCATAAACATAGTCTTTTTTTTTAATATTTAAGCAAACTAAAATTGTATGTTTAAGCTCTTTATAATTAATGGCAGACTTTCCGTGCCACTTAAAAATACTTCAACATTTTTGTCTTTGTTTGGCAGCCAATTTTCACCCATTTCCTTTGACAATTTTCCGGATGGACACTTAGAGTTTTTCAATTTTCGCACTCGGCACTTAACCCGCTGAATGTGTCATGGTCAAGCTCTCGAGCTGGTTTTTATTTCCGCCAGATAAATTCCATGGCGATTACATGCAGCTGTTATGCATTTGTTTGCTACTAATAAAATGCAATGTACTTAGGGATACATAAAGTAGGTTTAAAACTATTTTTAAATGTTTATAAAAATATTTAATTTATCTACATAAGTGGCCCTTTTGAAAGTTTTAAACCAGTATTAAGAGTTGATGATTAAATCCCAAGACTACATAACTATAGAAACTCGTAATAAACAGCAGGCACAAGGATCCTAATTAAGCAATAATTTCAAAATCAATAACCTATACAAATATGGAAACTCTGCAGTCAGCAGAACGTAATTCACACGTTTTCCGATTTTCCTGCAGGCAGAAGACAGTGGGGAAAATTAGCAATCTTAATGAGCTTGTGCAGCGGCAACTCACCAGAAAGGAAGGGGGCTCTATGAGGATGAATACCCCTGAGCAGACGGTTAATCAGGGGCGTTGGGGGGTTAAGGGGGTCAAGATAACCCACGTTCGCTGCAGCTGGCGCTTTTCAATTAGCCATCGCCGACGGCAACGTCAACTGCACTTAATGCGCGGTTAAATAATGGCCAAACCAAACGCTTTATTTTCATTACCAGGCAGTTAGGAGTTGCCTTTAAAGTTTTCCCGGCAAAATTGGAAAAATGACTCAGTTATCGCCCTTATCGCAGATGAGTTTACAAACTCGAAACTTTTTTGCACAATTTTTGGTACGTTGCATTCGTTGTCTGCCATTTTTGGGGCATGAATTATTCAAGTCGAAACCGAGTTAGAGCCACTTCACTAACGGGTTTTGGGCTTTGGGCCTGGTCAAAAGCGACCTTCGCACTCATTTCGATTGCAGTTGCAGTCGGTGAATGTGCAGCAATGAAAGCGGAAGGACGCACCGCTTCCTGTTGTGTTTGCTGCTGCACTGCGAGAAAATAGGCCATCCTTGAGTTATTAAACTTATTAAACTTTGAGCAAAAATGCATGACTTTTTGAGGCTGCAATTTTGAAGTTCTATATATTTAACTACAATTTAAAACAGCGGCCGGCAGCATAGGGAATAGCTCTGCTCAGTCTCTACCAGTAAACTCAGACAAATATGAAATTTCAAACAGGAATAAGTAATAAGCAGATGAAATTCTAGTACTAGGACGAGATAGAATGCTTTTCTCAGTGTGTTTGGGCAAAACTTTTTGCAACTGAAGCAGTGTTGGCAGGGGGAAATGGGCGGGGGGCGTGGCGTTTTCATGCAATTTGTGCCTGGGCGTAACTTTAATCTATCACGGATGCCAGGATATGGATTCTGGCCAGGAACAATCGTTGCATACGAATGAGCCACATGTTTGGACACTATCTTCGGTCAGATGTGCCGCAAGAGGGAAATGAAAGGTGTCTGCCTAAACGATTCTTGATTGACACTATCAATAGAAGATATGGTAGCCCCCAAATTGCATTTATCCTTGTGAAATGAGTTTGAATAGAATTGCGAATTTCGAATGCGAAAAAAACTAAAATGGTTGAAATGCATGTATTTTCTCTTCAAAGAACTGCATCTTTTAAATATCACAATCCTATCCACTTCTATCATTTCTTACAAATTTTCTTCAAAGTAGGTCCAAGGTACTAAACAAGATATACAAACTACAAACTGTATCATACCATTGGTGGTAATAATAAAATAGCAATAATTTCAAATTTTTGATTTCTGGTGATCGTTAAAAATCTTAGTAAATCAGCTTGTCATAAAATTTATAGATGTTTGTAGGTGAGTAAAAATTTCCAACCTTTCTAATTTCAATCGATAAAAAGTAAATACTGAATAGATTCAATAAACTTAATTACTGACTGAGTAATAGGAAATTTTTAAGATAAGGTTCTTATCTCTTCTATATATTCTTAAAAAAGTAATGCGATTGTGAAGTGTGGGTGTGAGAGAGATGGACTTACGGCAGCTACAGGTGTTTTTGTCCTGGCACTTTTGTTGTTTCGCTGTCTCTTTCTCTCTGGCGCACTCTTCGTCTTTCTTCTCTCTTCTAACCACAGCTTTGTCATCTTCCTCCTCCTCCACCTTCTTCTTCTTCTGGGGAGACGCTTCCACTTCTTCCTCTTCTTCAGTGGCGACGCCGGTAGTTTTGTTGATTTCACTCTCTATTTCCTTGTTTTCCATCACTTTGCTGGTGCTTTCCACTTCTTTAGACTCTAAATTATCCATTTCTTTGTTTTAAGCAATTAATTTTGAGCCGGAAAACAAAGAATTCACCGGCAAAAACTAACAAAATGTATTATTTATGTTTGCAAACAGCTGACTATCCAGTGTGACCGCAGAGTCAAATATACCAAAAATATTTCAAACGGTAAATGGGACTTGACCGCTGCAGTGTTGCAAAACACTAAGTTAGCCGCGAGAATTCAAATTTAAATTGCTTGGAAAAATCTGAGAAAAGTCTTATTAATGGTATAACCCCCTATTCATTTTACTTCTTTCCTTATGGCAGGAAACTGGCGCCACCCAACGACCTTGACAAATGCGGAATGCAGGCAAAAGCACATAAATTGTAATTAAAAAAGGGCAAACAAATTGAAAAAGAAGCAGAAGGAGGAAACAAGTAGAACTATTTGAAAAAGCTGCAAAAGCAACAAATAACTCGTAAAACTTTCTAGGCCAGCGAGCCAAGAAAAAAAGAGAAAGAAAAAAAGGAACGCACATTTTTATTTATTAGTTGGCCGAACTTTTCGCAAAATGCCAGCGGGTCGAGTGGCTGGCAAAGCCGGCTACTCCAATCACTACTACAATGGTGAGTTCTCCAATTCATTTTTATTATCCCTTGATGCCCTTAATACATCACCATTATCACAGCCCATTCTATTTGAATAATTTAATTGAACCCAACCAAGTGCACACAAAGCGATAACAGCTGAACTCAATTTGCATATTGTTTTATTTTCTCAGAAGATTTTTTATGGTCATATAGCATATAATTGTAGCAACACTGATAAAAAATGGAATGGTAAAAATAAATATCCACACAATGAATCAAAAATGTCGTTTTTAATATTTAATTTAGATTCAAAAGGATATTTCAAAAAGAAAAAAATTTGTTTTAAAATATTTTACTCAAGAAGAATATTATCAAGCTATTTAGTTTAATATTTGCATATTTAAAATAAATAAAAGCAGCTTTTTAAATTGACAATGAAATTAATGGACTTACTACTCTTTTCTATAAGTTAAAAGTCATTAGTAATATTAAATATTGATTACTATTTATTAAAATGAATGCATTTTTGGCAGGACGCTCGTACGTGGGCATCAACGAGGAGATCATGTGGGTGAGCATCGGGATGGGCGTGACCATAGTGCTCCTGATCACGATCGCCCTGTGCTACATTGCCCGCGAGAAGTGCCAGAAGCGGCAGCGGGAGTACTACGTGACCGCATAGTTGTTGTACGCGGCCTGCCAAACGACGGAGGAGCAGGAGGAGCAGCAGGAGCAGGGGACTCCCCCGGACCAGGTCATCGCAATGGAGGAGGGTGCTGGGAAGTCGGGCGGGGAAGGTGGTCCTGTGCCACCCCGTGGAAATCCCGCAGGAGCGCCGTCAGGATCACGAGGCGACGTCACCGTCATGCATTGGACTGTGGTTGACATCTGTGGCGCACGCAGCTGGGGCTGACGCAACTGAATGATAAGGAAGACCCGAACCACCAAGGCCACCCACCCACAAGACCACAGCAGCACCCCATTCCACCCACCACCACCCACAACCACCCACCACAACCACAACCACAATTACCATGGAACCCACTTCGCTGCCCAAGGCAGTTGAATGCGTTGAATTTTTTTTGTGTCGCCTGCGAAACTCGTTGTAAGCATATTATATTTAGAGAAAGTTACTTTAATAACAAACCATGTTACTGAATTTGCCAAAATATAAAATATATTAATATACAATATTAAAAACGAGGTGCAAGGTTGTTATTTTAAATGGGTTGTGATACAAATACCCTAAAAATATAAAAATAATATTTGTTTTATTTGCCAGTTTGATATAGAAGGCAATACTGAAAGATACAATTCTTAAAGGACACATAATAAATATTACGAAATTATATAAACTGAAACAAAGGTCACCCAATGAAAATTTATTTATTTGTACTTTTTTGTAACGTGCAAATTCAAATTTCGGCGCCCTCGCACCTTTTCCCATTAGTCTGGCAGCGCCGTGCCCCTTTTTATGGGCCGCATTGGCTCGCGAACAGCTGTGTGGTTACGCTTCGTTGTGACTGACAAAAAAAAAGAAGAAGAGACGCGCACGTTTTATTTTATTTACAAAAATTTCATTAATTTTCCTTGACTTTGTGACACAAATGCGCAAAAATGGTGGATAATATATCGCTGAATGTAAACGTAAAGCCGGCGGCCCAGAAAAAACAACAAGTAAGTGAATGTCTCAGTAATAAATTAAGGATTTCATTTATTGTTTATTATATTTCAGCAGGGACCAGTGCAATCGGTTAAAAAACGTGCACAAAATTCTGAGGCTTTCGACTTCCAATTCAATGTGGACAAACCCAAGGTAAAGGCAATTGTGCTGCGAAGAAAGGCGCCTTTAGCGAGAGCAGCCACAAACTCTGGCCCTCCAAATCCCTCGACAAGTTCTTCAAACAAAGTGCCTTCTACTCCTCCAGTTTCTTCTGCGAATTCTTCACTTTCCGCCCTTTTTTCCTCTAAAAAAGATGATGTATCCCACGGAGATCTCATGTTCAATGTCAGCTCTTCAAAACCACCTGCTAAGAGCCCTTTGGGCGATGATTTCATGCTGAATGTGACCACAAAACCGGTGGTCATCCAAAAAGCCAAGCCAAAAATCACCAGAGCCGAGAGATTGGGCAAGAAACAGAGGCCAGGAAAGCCCATGGCGAAGCTCAGCGATGAGCAGCTCACGCGGGCCTTGAAAAACCACCGAAAACCCCAGAATCCCAATCAAATGCCAAGGGCAGGCGACCTATTCCGGGCTCAAATGGAGGAGGAGAGGCGGAAAAAGAGGCAGGAGGAGGGAGGAGAAGATCAGGAATCGAATGGAGACGAAGAGGAGGCGGAGTACGGGTCAGATTTGCCGGCAAAAACCAGAGCTACCGCGGGAAAAAGACCTGAAAAGACATCAGTAAGGCAAGCCCCACAATCTGGAGAAGAATCCGGTGAAGATTCAGCCGAATCCGACAAAGACTCAGCAGAGTCCGATGAGGAAACCTCACCGGAGGCAGAAGAACCTCAAAAGACCGTCAAAAAACCTACGAAAACGCCATCAAAAGCTGAGGAAACCTCGGGAAACCGGTTTCGCACCAAGAAGATAGGCCTCTTCGACCAAAGCGATGTCGAGGCACTCAAGCAACTCGGACAGAGAGCTGTGAAGCCCGTCAAGGAGACCATCTTTTCGGGCTCCAAGATATCCACCTTGGGACTGCATCCACATGCCGTAAAGAACCTGGAAGACCTGCTCAGCATACGTGAGCTGACCAGCGTGCAGCAGAAGACGATACCCGAGGTGCTGCAGGGCAAAGATGTGCTGGTTCGCTCGCAAACGGGTTCGGGAAAAACCCTGGCTTATGCTCTACCCCTAGTGGAACTGCTGCAGAAACAGCAGCCCAGGATTCAGCGGAAAGACGGCGTGCTGGCGCTGGTCATTGTGCCCACCAGGGAACTGGTGATGCAGACATACGAACTCATCCAGAAGCTGGTCAAGCCCTACACTTGGATTGTGCCCGGCTCCCTGCTGGGTGGCGAGAGCAGGAAGAGCGAAAAGGCCCGGCTCCGGAAGGGCATTAACATACTGATAGGCACACCTGGTCGCCTGGTGGATCACCTGCTGCACACGGCCTCCTTCAAGCTAACCAAACTGCAGTTCCTGATCCTGGACGAGGCCGATCGCCTGCTGGAACTGGGCTACGAGCGCGATGTCAAGCAGCTGGTGGAGGCCATCGACAAGCAGCGTGCCGAGAGCGAGGACAAGAAGCTGCCGCAACTGCAACGTATGCTGCTGAGTGCTACTTTGACCTCGCAGGTCCAGCAGCTGGCTGGTCTGACGCTCAAGAATCCCTTGTACATAGACAACAGCGATGAGGCGGCAAGTGTGGCCCTTAAAACGAAGGATGGCTACCAGAAGGAGACCATCGAGACCCTGCTGGAGGTGGACGACGGACTGGGCGAGTACCAGGAGGATGTGACGGGTGTGCTGAGTATCCCCGAGAACCTGCAGCTCAGCTATGTGGTGGTGCCGCCCAAGCTGCGCCTAGTGGCCCTCTCCTCGCTGCTGGCCAAGGAAGTGGACGCCAGTCCCAAGCAGTTCAAGGCGATTGTGTTCATGAGCACCACCGAAATGGTGAACTTCCATCACGACATGTTGAACGAGGCGTTGACAAGGCGAGTTCTCGACGAGGAGGACGAGCAGGAGGAGGGAGATTCGGAAGGCGACGGGGATACACCACTGCTCCAGGGTCTGCGCTTCTTCAAGTGAGTTCGTTGTGGATCTCCCAGTGACTTATTCCTCCTAATCCTTTGGTATTTCGCCCTAGATTGCATGGCTCCATGACGCAGACGGAACGACAAGGCGTTTTCCGTGGCTTCCGCGATTGCCCCAGCTGCGTCCTCTTGGCCACCGATGTGGTGGGTCGCGGCATCGATGTGCCCGACGTAAAGCTGGTGGTGCAGTACACACCGCCGCAGACCACTGCCGATTTCGTCCACCGCGTGGGTCGAACGGCGAGGGCGGGGCGCAAGGGCAGGGCCGTGCTCTTCCTGGCGCCCAGCGAGGCGCAGTTCGTGCGGCATCTGGAGAAGAAGCGCATTCGCATCCAGCAGGGCGACATGTACGCCTACCTGCAGACCCTGCTGCCCAAGGACGACGAGGCCAGGACGGTCCAGGAGGCGGCCTCCAACCTGCAGCACAAGTTCCAGACGCTGCTCGAGGATGATCGCGAGCTGCACGACAAGTCCTGCAAAGGTAGGTGCTATTCAAGCTATTCCTATACTCAAGGTTCATTACAAAAGTATTTGTTAGGTGTCCGTTTTATATAGTTCACTTATTTGTTATTTTTTAATGTAATATAAGAGTTAAGAATATTTAGGCGGCTTAAATGCCCTTTTTCTTACTTTCACCCAAAGAAAAAGGACCCTGTCTGATTACCAAATCAATTGGTTAAAAATTAAAAGAAAACTACAAAGCATTTGTTGAATATCCGTTAAATATATTTAATTAACTTAATGTTATTAAGTTAAATATATGAGTTTAGAATACTTGTGTGTTTTAAATGCCCCCTATTTATTTTCAATTCAATCAATAACATTTAATCGTTCGATTACCACTAGGACCCTGTCTGATTTGTCATATTTAGAATATCCAGGGACCCAGACCCCTTTTGAATCCCGTGCCATTGGACGAGTTCCCATGGCGCTTACTTTTCCAATTGCCCCAACTCCGATCCCTGGACAAACTAGCAATTTAATCCTTTCACCAAAGAACATTAACTTTGTAATTACGATTTTTTACAACACTCGGGTGGCTGGAAAAAAAGAGGGGGAAACAAACACACAAACGCTCGGCTATTTTTCCAATTATAAGTTGGTAGCCCGAGCCACGCCCCCGCTCTTTTGACCGCCCCCCAGGCCCAGTTATCATCCACGGGGCAGCGCGCGTTAAAAACACAAAAATTATTTCATATTTGAAGTTAATTTCGATTGCGTGTCAACTGGGTGGTCCCCCACTTCTGCCTCCCTCGGCGACCTCCAACCACCCACCACCCCAGAAGCACCCTCTTTCACCCCCAATCTCCCACCACCCCCATCCTTCAACGCGGCAAGTGACCACCAGCGACTTCTTTCATCGCCCGATCCTTTTTTCTGCCTTCAGTTATTTCCACATTTTATTTTATTTGCTTTTCAAAACGGGGATGGGGTATAGCTACCCTAGGAAAATCTCAAGGGGGGTATATCACTTTTATGATAATAAGTACCAATTTAAATAATATTTCCCTTGCTTAAAAGTACAATATTATTTTATTAGAAAACATATTTATAAGCATGAAATAATCAAACTTACTGACTAATATAAAAATCGAACTAATAATTTGATATGATATCATTTTTCGAGCAATACTTAATAATAACCTTCGTTCAAACCGACCTTTTTTGATAAATCAGTTATTATTCTAAAAGATCTAAGTGCTAACCCAGTCTACCTATCGAATTAAAAGGGTATCCTCTTATATTTACAATAAAATCTCTCTATAAGGCAATTCCCTGTCTGCCTGCTAGTAATTCCCTTACTATCCTGCTGAAATTGTAATTGCAGCGTTGAAAAGGCTAGAAAAAAAGTTAATTAGATGTTACCAAGGCGCGTGTGAAGGGTTGAGAAAGTACTGGCGAGGTTTTTCCCCATTTTCCTGCGATTGAAACATAATGAACCTTCGAGGGGGGGTGGGGCAGGCAAGTGGAAACGATTCTAATCGAAAAGAGGCACCCAAAATGAATCATAAATGGGGTGAAAGGCACCCAAAAGG